GGGTATATATAGTAAATAATAGGGTTTCCCCATTATAGCAACTAAAGTTACTTTCCTTAAATCCCTATATTCCCCCAGTTTCCATTTCATTTTCCATTTGATTCTCCATTATAGGGGGATCATATAGCTTAATTTAAGTTCCTTAACAGCAACCCAGTCTAACCAAGATCCGGCCAGGGCCAGCCATGCTGGAGCTTCCTTCAAAGACTGTTTTAGATTGGTTTTTTGCTTTCAGAAATCTTCAAGAACTGTCAGAAAGCGTCCCAGAGGGTGATTTTTCTGGGGGGCCTGCAAGAAGGTTTGATATCTTTCAATAACGAAAAAACCCCAATGAAATGTACTTGTGTTGTTGGCCAAGATGGACCTAACTGAGTTTAGGTCCTAAACCCTAAAAGAACAGGTTTGGGTGGTTTGGCCGTCTCACACGGCGCGAGCTGGGTGATTGGTTAGACGCCCCTCTACAGCCCGACCATGATAAAGCCGCTTGAAGAGTCCTTGACACCTAATCATCACTGCTCGCACGGTAACTCACAGCAAACCCTAAACCCTAAATCCTAAACCCTAAACCCCATATTCTATCTGCTTAAGGGAGACTATACCCTTAAACCCTAAACCCTGAACTCCATATTCTATCTACTGAAAGGGGGCTATACACCCTTAAACCCTCAGAAGCCCAGCAACCCGAGGCTTTGGGGAATGATGATTCGGCGGATGCCGCCTCGCATGGCAATTTAGGGTTTAGGGTTTAGGATTTAGGGTTTAGGATTTAGGGTTTAGGATTTAGGGTTTAGGATTTAGGGTTTTGGGTAAGGTGTAGGGTTTCATCCCACCGCCTAATATTGAGACCCCCAATCTCCCTACTACTACGCATTCCCATTGTGGTCTACTATACTGTATAGGGAATATCTCATATCGGGGGGGGGGGGTGTGGAAGGCTTTGATGTCAGGATAGGCGAGTATTACAGTCACTTAGGGCTTGGGCGCGAATCATTTTGCTTTCGACTTGTGACTCTAGGTCATGGGCCAGCGTTCTAGAAACCGAATAATGGAACCCAAAACGTTTCAAAGTTTTCTGTTGGCTCAATCCAGGCCGTCCAAAATAACACACAGTTATAGGTGGCTAGGGATTGGGCACATCGACCCTGTGATCAAAGGGCTTTTTGAAACATCGCTTGATAGAACGCTTGACTTCCCACAGTGACCAAGCAAACGATACTTACAAGGCTCCAATTGTACTTTGGATGAGGAGCCCTTTACTGCAGGGTTAACTTTTCAGGGTTTAGGCTAGTGGTTGGAGGAAATGTTACACGACAGCCTATACCCGATCACTGATTAAAATACAGTACTCGCAGGTTGAAATTCGTGCAAAATTTCCTATTCACTGCAGTGATGACGCCCATCAGAAGGAAACAGCTGAATGACCATGCATGATGGTAAACATCTTGTGCTGGTAGCTGGTAACTGACAAGGAGACCGACAAATTCAATTGAGATATTGAACCCTCCTCTTTTCCCCAATAGCCAAGGTTTAACAACATAAACTGTATTATAGAGACCCAAAACGGAAGCCCAAAAAGTTTAAAGCAAATCCTTGTCGATGACTTACCCCAGCGTTATGCGTGGGTAAGCCAGTATACCCAAAAAGTTTAAAGTTCTCCTATTGGCTAAGTAACCCTAAGCCCAAGTTAAACCTAAGCCCGAAACCTAAAACCCTAAACTGTGGTCATTGCGCCTCCCCCACCCCCAAACAGTAAATGCAAACTGAAATACCCCTGACTTATTTCTCATCTATGGGTTTAGGGTGTAGGGTGTAGCAATATGTATATATATATATATTAACATGTCCCCTATCTACGTTTGTCGGTGGGGTGAAGCTGAAGTCTGTCTTGTTGCTTTGTGGTTGAACTAAGCAAATCAAATCATATGTATACGCCATAGTCTAAACTCCTCGAGAGGGGTTATATGGGGGATTATACAAAGTAGTATTACAAGGCTTATCAAGGGGGCTACTTGAAATTTGGACCGTAGCTCATATGCATCTTAGAAGAGACGCCGCTCAAAAAGGGAATTGGGGAGTATCGCGTCGGCAAAAACACCACTACTCAATCTTTTTTTATCATGTGAGCTACATCAGTATTTCCCCTCTCATTAGTGGACATGGGTTCCTTTTACCTATTAAGGAACACATTTTGGACAATATAAAACTACCGAGGACCCCTGCATGCACACCTGAGGGTCCCTTGGTGATCCTAATGCTGACAGAACCCATGGGCATCCCTGCATTCGCGTCTGACCGGGCACATAGGATTTTGAAGCCAGACGTCATTCCAGAATATAAAAGCTTGTGCACTCATCACTATGGAATTTGCAGTTTCCACTTCATCACTGAAGTAAATCGTGGTTTCAATTCATCATTTGAGGAAGTAGCCGCTTCCACTTCATCATTCCAGAATACAGTCACTTCCGTTTATCATTCTAAAACCGATAATCATTCTAGATTGTAGTCGTGCCCATTCACGGTTTTAGACTATCTAATGATTTCCGTTTTTCACCTTCCTAGAATGTACTCGTATTCATTCGTCATTCCAATCCTTCAATCTCAGAGTATCATAGTTTCCACTTGTTTGACAGTAGTGATGGACATTGATACTTGAGAAAACCACAGAAGCCTAGGTTTATTGCGGATGTTGGCAATGTCCACGAATTACGATATTTTGGGGATGCTAAGTAGCGCAAATTTCCTCCATCCAGAGTAATTTCCGTTCCCCTAAGACAAGAAAGATTTCTTTTGGGGAGACTTACATGTGCATCACGAAAGCCATAACCAGCCACGCTATGCCCTCGCTTTTTTGGACAGCCAGTTGTAGTTGCATGGATGGCATGAACGAATTACACGAGCCTGGCAGTCTCACCCGCAGGTGAGGGCTTCACCCACAGCTTTGCGTTGAAATTTCTAATAAAGTGGGCCATTTTGCCGAGAACGAGGCTCTACAGCCACCAAACAGCACTGGCTGGAACCCCACCGAACTACCGCAAGCATGCGAGGGACGTACATACCTGTGTGTCTCATAGCCTCATGGCGGGTTTGCCAGCGCATCGTACGCCGTACTCCTGTGCGCAGCCTCCTGGCGCCTGATGCAGCGGCATGATGTCGATGAAGACTGCGTATCATGGCTCGAGCGCCGAGTGAACAGCCAGAATACCTTAGTGGTGACGCAACTGGTGCCAAGGACGATACGCGGACTACTATCTGGATGTATCCCACCATTCCTATTAACGACCAGTAAGGTACTTGGGCAACAAGGAAGGTCATGATGAGCATGAACACGCACAGCTGAACCAGCGAGTAATTCCTTAGGCGTCCAGAGCTTTTGGTTGAGCTGGGATTCCAACGTCAACGCCCTACATGCTGAAGTCCCTGGCCCAGAAAGGTACAACCTCTTCATTACGGCAGGATGGTACATACCCCCCCAAAAAGTTAAAGACTATTTAATAACCAAGGCACAAAAGGGAAGTACGAACTGTAAACCCTGAAACCTACATTCCAAACTCCAACCCGCAAATCCTAAAGCCACTACGTAACCCTAAACCCATACACCCCAAAACGTAAAACCTTGGACCTGGAATCACTAATTAAACCCAAACGTCCTAAACCCTAAATGCTGAATCTTAAACCCTGAACCTAAAACCTTACACCCCTGAACCACTAAACCCTAATCCACTACCCACTGCACAGGTTCTGCGCCAGCGGTACCAAGGAGGCCCAAACCAGACTGCCGCAGAAGTAGCTGTACCTTAGTATGGAGTGTAGGGTTTAGGGCTTGAGGTTCAGGGCTTGAGGTTTAGGGTTTGAGGTTTAAGGTGTGGGGTTTAGGGCATGCCTTGTCAAGCGACGCGCCTCGACCCTGAGGGTTGCGGGGCGGCGCGTCGTCGACTGATCGCGTCCTACCCACCCTGGCCACCCAGGCTTTATTCTATTAGGGATTAGGGTTTTTCTTGGTTCCCAAACACCATTCCCAACACAACTTTCAACAACAGCGGTTGAAGTCATTGGGCCTTGAAGTGCATCTTGCTAGGAGGGGGTCTTTTTGATTGTATTGAAATTTGTGGATGTATCGGCCATGCTCAAGGCCGCATTTTCAACCTCACCTCATGATTGATTTGGCTGAGCGATCCTCTTCACCACGATGCCGTCCTTCCGGGCAGCTGCTTCCAAAAGAGCAGGTGGTGCCACCTACGGTTTCGCTCTAGGGTAGGTCTTGCTGCCAGGGAGGGCCTTCGTCACGAACTGCAGTAGGGCTCGCTTGAAAAGCTTCCTGTGCGATCGCATTGAGGAAGGTTTTGGTATCTATGAAGAGACCAGACTTCCAGCAATGTTGATAAAGATTTATGATATCGTTGCTTATGCTGCATCCTGAGATGTAACAGATGTCTCCTAGGATTGGCGACTACCTGATCACCTGTTCCTGGCAGCAGCGTTTAGTTTATGTATCAGAGTGAGACGCCCCTGGAAACGGTGGTCTGAGGAGCCTGCATGGGTAGCGTGGTACCTGGCAGAGAGAAGTGGGATGTGTGCCACCAGTGCGGGCCGGGCTGCTTTGGCACCGGGCCGCTTCGGTCGGCCATCTCTTCCGCAGTTGCGCCGTGGTATTCTTTGCTCTCCGCAACCAGCTGCAGGAAAGAGCTGACAATGCCAAGCTGTCCTTCTTCATCAGCCTGCTGCATGGCCTCTCTTGCTGAGGCCGCAATCCTCTGAACAAGTCGGTTGAAGGGCCCTGCCATATCAGGGTCCGTACTGCGAGGGGTCCGCGGCCCTCACATGGCATGGTGCGTGGTGCTTGAGAGAGAGAGAGAGAGAGAG